GGGGGGGGGAGGGAAGTGGGGGAGAAGGGAGGATCAACTACGAATTGGTACCCGTGTAGGGTGTACAGTTCGCAGATTATACTTGTGGTGTTGGTTGAAGGTTTTACCATTCCTGCTATTTGTAGTCAGTGAAAGGAAGACCTAGTGCTGACCCAGCTAATGATTCAGAGATGGAGATTGCCAGTGACAGCGTAACATTGGTGGACTATCTCTGAGTTTTGTCAAATCAGATATGAATAATTCGCCCATGTGATTTCCAGTGAGGTATTTGGAGTGAGGCAGCATGTTTTGCTCTGCATGTGGCTGGTGTTAATGCTACCGGTAGTGCAAGCATGAGTCAAACACAGAAGTTTGGTGCAGATATCAGGTCCAGATGTCAGTCCAGGTGCAGATGTCAGTCCAGGTGCAGATGCGCATGTGGGTTTAGGGTACAGGTACAGGTACAGGTACATGTGCAGGTACACAGGTTCAGGTGCAGGTTCAGGTGTGGGGAAGAGAGGTGTGAGGACAGGTGTTCGAACGGGTGTGCGCAGTTGTGGGTATAGGTGTGGGTACAGGTGCGGGTACTTGTGTGGGGACAGGTAGGAGGGCAGGTGTGTGGACATGTGGGCGTAGATGTGGTGCGACGTGGAAGTGGTGTGGGTGCAAGGTATGGGATGCATTCGTGCACATGGGCATGGCGACAAATGAGGATGCAGATGCCGGTGTGGCTGTGGATGAGGACGTAGGCATGGACGTAGCCATGGACGTAGGCATGGACGTAGGCATGGACGTAGCCATGGATGCAGGCATATATAAAGGCTGTAAAGGCTGATGAAGTTGCGGACACAAATGTGGGGACCTGCAGTTGCAGGGGCAGACAATGGACATATGGACGCAGATTCAGCAACTACCAATGTAGATGCAGCAGATGCGAACATAAGGGAAGAGGAGAACTGTGGAAAGTCGATGTCGGCGCAGACATGCGGATATGGGCGCGGATGTGGACGAGGATGAAGATGCAGTTGTTGATATTGATGCATGCGATTATGTCTACAGGCATTTGCTCTGTAAGCAAAGCTGCAAATCTAATGACATGCTTCAATATAGTTGCGGGCATTCTTCTTGGCTGCACGTGTATGGCACAATAACTCCACCCAGCCCGTGTAGCTGAATGGTACACAATGTACACACATGATACCGCTGGCAAACAGATTATGCGCTCGAGTCCTGCTGCAAACAGATGGATAGCATTTGATACAATAAGGTTCGCCCGTAAACCACCAATACATGGGCCCAGGCAACTGGAGAACCTGTTTTGAGCCTCTCCGAAAATTTAGGAGGCCGAGCGCTGTAGATAAAATGAATTGGCGGCGGGCGGCCTCCGAAAGGGGCCCGCGGCCGATAGCTGGCATGTACTGGTGCTTTAAGGGTAAAGAAGAAGAAATACTTGGATTGATACGACAGGGGTGTCGGCCGCGGCGGAAGAAGCATTTGGATGACACAGAAGCATTTTGATGATACAACAAGGTAACTGCACATGTGGATGCAGATTTAGCTGCAGACATATTGATTCTGCTCTCTGATGTGGATGACCTTGCAGGAATTCAGATGTGGATAAGCATGCGGGGAACGGTTGTGGATGGGAGTTGCAGCGTTGGTGCGGATGCATACAGGCATGGGCATGGTGGAAGAGGATGGATCCAGCTATGGATCCACAGCTATAGATCCACAGCGATGGACCCAGCTATGGATCCACAGCTATTGATCCACCGCTATGGATCCAGCTATGGATCCACAGCTGTGGATCCACAGATATGGATCCACAGCTATGGATCCACATGCTATGGATCCATATCTATGGATCCATACCTATGGATCTACATAGCTATGGATCCATATCTATGGATCCATAGCTACGGATACACCTTTGGATCCACAGCTATGGATCTACAGGTATGGATCCACATGTTGGCATGGATGCAGAGGGGTACTGATGACAAGTCTTAAAATTGCATTGGGGGCGGGGGGGGGGTTGGTGGGGAGGCAGGGGGAAGGAGGGAAAGTGAGGTGAGGATAAGTGAAGGAAGGAAGGCTTGGGAGGGAAAAGGGAAGGGCATAAGGA